ACGCCTGCACTGCCACACTCACCTGTGCGGCTGCCCTGGTCCAGCACCTCCTTGCCGCACAGCTCCGGCCCCGCCTGCTCCAGGAACCGGCCCTCCTCATCCACCAGGCACACCTGACGGGGACAGGCAGGAGGACACGGAGCCGTTTAATCCAGGGACACAGCCCCATGAAGAGAACCGGTCGCCAGCCCTCCGCCCCTCTTCACTGGCAGAGGAACAGAGTGACAACGCCCGGTGCTTTTATCACCACAATGCCTGTGCACACTAACTCCCCAATCACAGCATCCAGCCCTTCCTCTGCAGCTCACAGCCGGGCCACACTGCTGCACCATGGGAGTCACGCCGCCGCAGAAGAGGGACAAAGCAGGCAGGCCATGCCAGGGAGGATCAATAAGAGTGTTGGAAGAGAGGAAGAAAGAGACCGGAGGAGAATAAACGAGGAGATAGATGGCGGAAAACAGTGAAGGGGCAGAAGAGGGCAGAGGGATGGGGCAGGTCCAACAGAGAGACAGGGAGGCGGGGGTGTGAAAGAGTTGAGCCAGCTGCAGGAAGGTGCGTTTGGGAGCCAGCACTGTGTTTCCGAGGCGGATGGGTGACCACGACGTACCACGGGCAGCTTGAAGTGCGAGGCGACGCTGTAGTCCTCCATGCCGTGGGCGGGCGCGGTGTGCACCAATCCCGTGCCCTTGCCCATGGTCACATGGTTGGCGGGCAGCAGTGGAGACGCCTTGCCAGGGATGAAGGGATGGCTGCAAACCCCACCCTCCAGCTCGGACCCTGCAGACGACACGCAGTGGCAGCGAGGTCACTTCCTGTGCCCAGGAGCATGCTCAGTACTCATACAGGCTGTCTGGAGAACCGATCAACAGACGGGCATCGCCTTCTCTCAGCTCGTGAATCTTCTCCTAGCCCAGCAGGTATAGAATGCAGATGAAAAATAAAAAAGCTCCAGCCTAGCGGGATAAGGACTTGTATTCATATTGGTGAGAGCCCAGAAGTAGAACTAGGTGCTAGCTGCTTTTATTAAGGGCTGGAGTTGGACACTAGCCTGGAAGACATTAAGATCTGCTCATCATCAGTTTACCTCCTTCTTAATGATACGGGGCTCATGGGTCTCCTTCAGAGGGAGAAAGCAGCTGGCCAGCAGAGGGCGCTGTGTTACCTGTGAAGGAGGCAGTGGTGTCCAGCTGGGTGCCCAGCAGGGTGGCAAGGCTGGCAATACGCTCAGTAGCCACCAGGTGGAGCTGTGAGTTGTCAGCTCTCCTCACAACTGAGTACCTGAGGCCAAGCACAGAAAAACAGTCAGGCCACACAGCACACACAGTTAAAACAACGTGAAGGCATGCCTTCGTACTGACAGCTGCCAGGAAGTATGGAGTGCTTGCAGTATGTGCACTGACCACCCACTGTCTATTTGAGGTGCAGAGTACAGACTGAAGGAGTGTCCACAGGACAGGACGCAGTGAGCAGTGTATAATCAGGTACAGTGCACAGTCAGGCTACAGTGTACAGTCAGGGCACTGTGC